CCCCCGCCGGCCAATCGCCGGGGCGGCGCGGCGGGGACACGCCCCCCCCGGCGCGCTCCGCGCCCTCCCGACCAATCGCAGCGCAGCTCGGCCCCCCCTCCATCGCCCCCCGTCGCCCACCCGCCTGTTTGTTACGGTCGGGGCCACGTGCCGGTGCCTCGGGCCGGTCACGTGGCCCTGGGGCCGGCGCGTCTGACGGGGACCGTGGGGTCCGGAGCTCTGCTGTCCTTGGGGGTCTGACGGGGACCGTGGGGTCCGGAGCTCTGCTGTCCTTGGGGGTCTGACGGGGACCGTGGGGTCCGGAGCTCTGCTGTCCATGGAGGTCTGATGTGGATCACGGGAGTCTGGAGCTCTGCTGTCCTTGGGGGTCTGATGGGGACCACAGGGCTCTGGAGTTCCCCTGTCTTGGGGAGTGAGGGTGTCTGATGGGGACCTGGAGGCATCCTTCCTATAGGATCTGATGGGGTGACACTGGGGAGCCTCCTGTCCAGGAGGGATTCTGAATGGGAACAGGATGGACTGCAGCTCTCCTGTCTGTGGGGTCTGATGGGGAACAGGGGAATCTGCAGTTGTCCTGTCTGTGGGGTCTGATGGGGAACAGGGGAATCTGCAGTTGTCCTGTCTGTGGGGTCTGATGGGGAACAGGAGGGTCTGCAGCTCTGCTGTCCTTGGGGGTCTGACGGGGACCGTGGGGTCCGGAGCTCTGCTGTCCTTGGGGGTCTGACGGGGACCGTGGGGTCCGGAGCTCTGCTGTCCATGGAGGTCTGATGTGGATCACGGGAGTCTGGAGCTCTGCTGTCCTTGGGGGTCTGATGGGGACCACAGGGCTCTGGAGTTCCCCTGTCTTGGGGAGTGAGGGTGTCTGATGGGGACCTGGAGGCATCCTTCCTATAGGATCTGATGGGGTGACACTGGGGAGCCTCCTGTCCAGGAGGGGGTCTGAATGGGAGCAGGATGGACTGCAGCTCTCCTGTCTGTGGGGTCTGATGGGGAACAGGGGAATCTGCAGTTGTCCTGTCTGTGGGGTCTGTTGGGGAACAGGAGGGTCTGCAGTTGTCCTGTCCGTGGGGAATAGAACTGGCTGTCAGCTTAGGAAGAGCCTGAAGCCCCCCAGCCCAGAGGAGTCTGACTGGGCCTGACTCTGGCTACCTGCCCATGGAGCCTGAATCCCTCCTGCCCAGGGAATGTGGCCAGGACCCTCTTGGCATTGCCCCCAGGCCCTTGCTCACCATGAGCCTCCATTCGGCCCTGGCTCCATTAAACCTCCTCCGAAGGGCCTGTCCCTGGCTGCTGTTCCTGTCATGGCCGAGCCGTGACAGCCTGTCTGTGGCTGGCTCTGGCCTCCGGAGAGGGAGGTGTTTCTCTCCCGAGGAGAGCTGTTTATGCCCAGTGATTTTTTTTTTTTCTATTTTTTTTTTTTTTAATTTCTTTCCCCTCCCTCCGTGCTCTCCTGCGTAAGCCACAGCAGCAGCTCGGTGTCTGCCCAGCCCGGCAGTGTTACGGCACGGCTCTTATGTAGGTGAAGCCCGGGAACGCTGCAAGGATCATGTGGAGCTCTCAGTCTCCTGAGCCCGGAGCTTTGAGCCTATTTATAGGTGGGTTGGGCAGTGTTCCGTCTGAAGGACTTGCTCCACGTTCGAATCCGTGGCAAAACGAGGCATCTTAACCTGATGGTGTTTTGGTTTTGGGTGGCTGTTCCCGGGAATAGGGTTTTATGGAAGGCTCTGGAGCACGGGTTGTTAGTAGGTTACGTGGAGAAAGGCGAGTCAGGTTGGAGTTAAGGAACGTGATGCCATTTTAATGCAACTTCTCGGGTGGCAGAACAAACAGTAAGAGGATACTCGGTTCTAGATCAGCAGCTTTCGGCTTTGCAGGCAGTGGACAACTCAGGGTCAGTGGGAAGCCACAAAGGAAAGGACATTGTGCTTTCTGTAGGCTTATGCTCATTATACTGCTTTCTGCACTGGATTTTGTGGCCGACAAGCTGGAAAAAAAAAAAAAAAAGGAAATTTACTATTCTAGATCCCTGAGATGTTTTGGTTTAGAGTACGTGGAGGAGGGGTGGGAAAAAACTCACCAGCTGTGTGTTTTGTTGTGTATGTTTCTATTGTACAGCTTAAAAATGTAAAATTCAGTGTATTTTTAAGAGTTACATAACCTTTAGTAACGTGGTGAGTCTCAAGTAGCCTTCAAGAGTTAAATAACAGCAGATCAACGAGGCTGGGTTGAGAAGAGGAAGAGAGGGTTTTATAATGGTGAGGACTATACACAGATATTTAAAACTGCTTTGGTGTTGCACTAGAAACGAGTCTTTGCTTAGTAGGAGGAGGTTTTTAATACCCTATAAATACAGAACATGAGAAGGAGGATAGAAAGATGAGGTTTGCAGTTTTGTGCTGCTCTAGTCCGGAAAAAGGATCAGGAATAGTTTATGATATTTCACATTCTTCAGCTTCTCTACCATCTTGACTTTTTCAGTACAATTTTTTGCAATCTGAAATGATGAGAACTTCCAGATATTGACCACGGTGGGTGAGGAAGGAAATCTGGCCTGAAAATAACAAGAAATTCCAGAAAGGAGTGGGGGACACTGTCGGGGTGGTGACACGTCCTGAGAGAGGGAGCTGGTGCTTTGTGTTGGTTACAGGAGTAATTCGACACGGTGTTACCTACAGAAAGATGTTTATTCAGCCGGGGTGGTTCGTGCTGGCATATCCGTGTTATCTTTGTATTTTTTGGGGGGGGGAAAGAGCCCTGCCTTAATGGAGGGAATGGCTGGGGAGCAGTGGAGGTGTGAGGATACCTGGAGGTGCGCAGCGTGCCAGCGCCTCGGAATTCAGAATGTACGTGGAAGTGCTGGCATGGAATTGATGCATCAGGAAATTGCTTTCTCTATTTTTGTTGGTGAGATGCAGTTAACGTAAAACGAGCCCTTTGGATCCCCTATCCTATTTCTCTTTAATATAACTGAGATCATTTATCTTGTCAGGTGGCGAGAAAGGGAGGGAAAAAAAATACTTTTGTTTTGTAATTTGGTTCACCTTCTCTTGATTTGCTGGCAGCTCATGACAAGGCACAATGTGTGCTGCACACTGTGTTCCACTGAGTTGTTTTGGTGACAAATACAACATAAATGAAAAAAAGGGCTATGAAAAATAGGTATTGTGCCAGTTCTCTCCACTTTTTAGAGAAACAGTCCCCGTTTTTCTCTAAAGTACACAAAAAGTGTCATATTAGGGTCTTATGCCTTGTCAGTTTCGGTGGCAGAAAGGTTGATGTTTTAGTCTTCGTAAGTATTCAAAATGCAACTGAAAAGGAAATATTTAAATTAGTGTTTGTATTGGTTTTGCAGTAGGAAGTTGTAAAACATTTTGTCAGTTTTAATAAAAAGGGAAATTCTGAACTTACTTTAAAAATACGATTGTTTATGCTGTATGAGTCTGTTATATTGTTAAAATTAAGAGGATTTCTTTAATCCAAGTTAGATTTTAATTGCTGTAATCACATGTTTACTATATTTCTTTTGTATTTATAAATAAAAACACAGAGTTATGTTTTTCTGACCTCGTGTATAGCATGACTGGCTGTAGTTCATGCCATATTTGCACGGTGTTTTTCCATAGACATCTTGCTCCTGGGATTATTGGCAGCACCAGAATAAGAGCTTGAAAATACTGTCACATAAAGGGTTAGAGCACTTGCAAACAGGAATGCTGAAATTCAAAGTTTAAAAAATAAGCAGCCTCTCCCCAGCTGTTCTTTCAAGTCAGTTTGATGATAATTTTGGATCCCGACTCATGGGTTTCTAAAGGCTGGAGATGGAATTAATGGGGTTGCAATTCTTTGTCATGAATTTCAGCATAAACAATATTTTTCTTTCGGCTTTGGATTTCTTGCAAATGCAGTGAAAAATCCCCTGTCCTTTTCCAGTCCCTCAGGATGCTGCACCTCAGCCAGCAGACGTAGTGTTGTTGTTGTCTAACAGCGAGGCTGGAAATGGGAGTTGTTTGTGCTGAATTTTACCCTTACCAAGGTCAGAGATTTCATCCTTCCGTAGATTCCTGATCTGGGAATTTAACACTTGCACTGGGTCCTGATTTAGGAATTTTCATGAACTTTTTTGAGCTCTGGAAGGAATTTAAATGTCCCCGTGTTGTGCTTGTTCCCAAACGTAAGTTTGGAAATGCCTGAAATAGTGACGTCTGCGTGGCAGAAATATTCATGATGGTAATAAAGCAGTCAAGCTGAAAATCCAGGTTTCTTACATAAAACTGATTTAATTGGCAGGACAAACAAGGGCGATAATTGCAATAATATTCCTGTTTTAAATAATTGTGGTCAATATGGGCATTGAAGTTTTCTTTTGACAGTGGTTTATGACTTAGGGGAAGTAATTTGGATGAGGAGAGATGGTCCTACTCTGTCTCTCAGTGGGCTGAATTTCAATGTACTGTTACCTGAAAATTAGTTTTTCATAATTATGAAGTATTAATGAGCCCATGGTAAGTGTTCCCCCCCCCACCTAATTCTTACTGTGATATACTTCTTACTAAAATATGAACGAAGGAAATTGAGCAACAAATGGTTGAGGGCATTTATAATACCTGTAAGCCCTGATTTACAAACACTCCTCTGAATGTGTCTTGTGGAAGGAGCAGGTCCTATTAGGGAACATAAATTGTGCAATTACGTAGAAAATCAGCAGAGTTGGTAAATTCTGAAGCAGTCATCCTGGTTTTTCTGTCCTATATTTCAAATCCTTGCTCTCTTGCAGCCAAGCCGTGGTGTGCTTACATGTGCAGAGTGCTGAGCAGTAGTCTCGTCTAAACAAAAAACTTGTGAAGTCAGCCTGCCAGTAATAGTGACATGATATTATTATTTATTTCATTTTGTTTTTCATTTTTGGCCATCTTGCCAACTGTCAGAAGCAGCAGTTAGTTTGCCTGGGGTGGGGGGGAAGGTGAGGTGAACAAGATGGGGAGAGGGAAACCTGATAAACATAATTTTCTGGTGTTACAAAATTTAGCTATTTCTGCCCCAATTTACCTGTGAGCTACACCAAGATGTACCAGTTTCAGTGCGGAGTCTAAAGTAATCCTTGTTTTTTGTAATGATTATTAGCAAAATAATAATATAAATAAAATAATCGTATTATTATATGTTTATCATCATTATAATGATTATTAATGAACATCATCCACAGAACTTCTCCTGCTTGAGGTGGAGCATGTTTGGATCTCTCTGGAAAATATACCTTGAATTTGGGCTAATTCTTTTTCATCTTTGTTGTCATTGGGTATATTTTTTGGTAGCTTTCAGATTCTCAGAAAAGCAAGATGATTTTTGTGCTCATTTAATAGCATTTTGTGTGGAATTCCCCTAAAATGTGCTGTTTTGAATAATACCTGCGTATGTATGAATTTTAACACAACCGTAGTAGCTTCTCCAGGAGCTTCTGCAAAAATAGAGTTGTAAAATGAAGGCAGGTACTGGCCTTGAATAAATTCCAGCGTGCTGAGGAAACCAGGCAAAATCAAACTGAGGTTCGGAAAGAAAACAAGCATTTCCCTGGCTTTTATGCTGATGATTATTTATTTACATCAGCACAGGAGGGTGTTTACCGGTGATCAGGTGCTGGTGAGACGTGTCTGAGGCAGGAGGGGATCCTTGTGCTGGGATTATTGGAACTTGGGAGGTTTCTTGCTACGCAGCAGCTCATGTGAGCAGCTCTCAGCTCTCCTGGGAGGGAGACGGAGCCTCCAGCCACCGTGTTTACTTCCAGCAGGAGGAGGAAAAGGACATTTCTGGCTATTATCTGCGTGCGTTTTGTAAACTGAAAGCTCTCTTAATGCTCCCGAGCAGGGTGTAGTTGCTGTATCATTCTGCGGTGTCGCTCCCCGCCCCCCCCTTTTTTTTTTTTTTTTTTAAATTTTTAGCCTAACTTCAGTGTTCGTCTGTCAACATCTGCTGGCTATTGACGGATCATCCGTAGCTCTTGGGAGATCCTTACATCCTAATTTCTCTGCCTCCGTGGCGGTGCTCCAGGACCCTGGAGCGGTCGGGATTGCGGTGATCCCATGGGCAGAAGCAGGATTCCGAAGGTGGGAAGCAGCAGGTACAGTTTTTCGCTGTGCACAGGAGCAGCCTCGGCGGCGCTGCGAGGCTGCGGTGCCTCCTTTCCGTGGAATACTCCGCTCCTTTCCCAGGCGATTTTTCCAGCGTTGCCCTCTGCCGGAGGAGACCCGCAGCGCCGTGTGGGCTCCCTGCATGGAGTCCCTGGCAGCTCCTAGAGCCCACCTTCCTCCTGGAGCCGCTGTTCCAGGCAGAGCATCTCCTTGCTGCTCCTCACTCCTCATCTCTGTCCGTGGGTGGTTTGGATAAACTGGAAGCCAAACAGTGGATCCAGCATTATGGGATAAGTTGCTTCTCCAAAGGTTGTTGTCCCGGAGCCACAACTAATTCTGGCAGGGGGTTGTGCACCTTTGCCATAAAACAGCTTTAACATTTGGATTGTTGCCCCTATCTGCCTTTGGTAATCCAGACGGTTTTAAATCAATATTGATCTAAAAAAAAAAATCAGTATTTTGAATGTAAA